AATGAAGAAAAAAAGTTGTGCGAGTAAATTGATATGATTATGAGCAATGGTTTGTGCTCGAAACGTCATCGGTTAATATTACTGTACAACACTGTGTGATTTATCAAAATAAAATCTTATCCATAATGGAGTTAAAAACAAAAAGGTTGCAAACCATCCCCATCATAGCAAGGCGATTTCCCCTTTCCTGTCAGAGACAGTAATACACGTTTGACATTATCACTTATTAATTTATTGTTAAAGCAGTTATGAAGGTACTGAAATTCGTCGGTTAGTTATTACTCTTATATCAAGACAATAACACTATTGGACAGATCACTCGACCACTGTTCACACGCGAAAGGTTGACCGAGAAGGTCAAAGATTTATTTCTACATGCTAAAGGCAAAATCACTAGAAAAATTAGGTTTATTTCTGTTCATCCAATTCTACGATTTCCAATACCGAATCCTTATGTTCGTCGACTGAGAAGTCAATATTCCTCTGCAGAATGTATTCATATGTAAATTTTATTGCCAAAATCATTATTATATTATAATATTATATTATCATATGTTTAATATATATTATATTATCATTATATCGTTCTTATTTCAACTAAGATAATAAGTTTCTTTCATGTATGAGCCTAAGTTATTTCTATGAAATCGGAATATTGCAGAAATTAAATCTTCGCTCAAACAAAGACCATTTTAAACAAAAGTTGACAACAACGCTACTTATTACGCTCATGGCGCTAGCGCTTTTGTCTTAAAATGAAAATCAGACTGCGATCAGTACATGAAAACTGAAATAATTTCTGGAATTGTGTTGTGAATACCAACAATTTTAGTTAATTACCAAACTGACTAGGACAATAGCCTTTCATTAAGTAGACAGAATATACCAGTATGATTGCATGAAAACTCAAAAACGTACGTTTAAATCTTGAACTTTCCACCTTATTTAATTCATCACACTGTGCAGATTCCAGTATCAAGTGACACTTCCTGATACAAAGTGAGAAAATATGACACAGTTCAAGTGTATTATACTGCTGCTATTATGCGCATCAGAAAAGTTCTAATACAAAATTTCATTTAGGAAGCATATAAAAGACAACTCTTCACTAAACCAACATAGCGACGGACCGCAACGCTAAAATTAGAGGGGATATGCAATAAAGCCACTCAAAATGACTGGGTCCCTAGCTTGGTCGGTATTGATTCGACGACAAAGTCCCCCCTTACTCCACACGCAAAATGGTCGTTAACCGGTTATACATACGCCTGTTAACTGACACGTCTAGGTAGACGGCATAGTCAGACTTTGTGGAGATGCGAAACTGCAGAACAACCCGACCACTTTCCTCTTGTTAATTGAAACACTATTTGTCTACGACCCCACTGCTTCTACTCCACTGGGTACGTTCAACGTTTGCGTTACATTTTTGCGTGATTCGTTAAATAAAATTTATTTTGTTGTAATCCCCACACAAGTACTATACTACTTCCATACCTATAACCATTAACTCTCATATCAAATAGTTGTAGTTAATCAAAGTAGAAAGCAACGAACTCAATCCCCTGTAAATCTGATGACTAATTTTACGTCTTTGATTGCTACATCAAGCAACACACTCCCTACAAACGGTTAAAATGAGCCACACAACTCACTTGTATGTCGTAAGTGTCGAGCTGGAACTGAGGATAAAAGTGTACTGATCGCTAGTATTAGCACTACTCCTAAAAATTCAGTACCCTCTTCTCATACACAAACCCTCCCTACACCTTATGTGCTTATCGAAAAACTCCAGCCATCAAGCTCTGTTTCAGTACTATCTTCAGAAATAGAACTTCCGAAGTTGTCTATAGGATAACTTAAGGCCGAGTTAAGGGAAATAAAAACAATAAGTCAGTAAATCCTGGAATTTCTGAAACCAATACTAAAGTATGCAAATTATCAGATCAGATCAGTGATATCAGATCGCAGGTCTGTGAATTGAAACCTTTAACTATCCTCATGAAAACTGTAAGCCTTAACAAACTTCACACAGAATCAGTAACTAAGGTATATAACCTCATTAATTTTGTTACTACAGAAGTAACAAAACGACTCGACGCTAAACTAAATGCTATTGTCTACAACGTTCCGGACAATGAGGCACTAAAAGAGGTCCAGCGCATCTTACTTAGTGAGGCGAAAATGCCCGACTCCAAGACTAAGTGCTATAGCCTGAAGAAGAGTTAATATGAAAATTGTTGTCCTATTCGTCTTCAGTTCGAAACACTGACAGAGTCCAAAAAATTCATCCACTCCCAGTCGCAAGCCAGAAACTACAAACCAATAAAGGTTGCGGTAGAAAAGTCAGTCATAGTAAGGTGTTAATGAGGTGCGCATATAATTATCTCACTAAGCTTATTGTGGAATAAATAATAGGACATTGCAAGCAGCCATTTTACCCAACTCTTTGAGAGATGCCGTTGAACCCACCGCACCACCCCTCTCAAACCACACAGAATTATCCCCTCAGAGTGCAACACCAACCGAAGGGCCAATAGATTGTTATCAAATAGCTAATAAAACCATACCACCTATCACCGTAGATATAGACATGTCACTAAATAACTTCAGAAAAAAGTCAAAGTCCCCCGCAAGTCGACTCTGTCCTCTCCTAGCCATAAGTCTATTGTTAAAAAAGGAAAATGTGACCCCAAATCATGCCAACAACAACAATGGCAGTATAAATAAGCCCACACTTCCCAGGGCCAATAGCATTAGCACTCACAGCGTGCGAAATAGCACCGTGGCATACACTGATAACCAACGTCACAACAATGCCACCCTCAATAGTATAAGTGGCAATAGTCAGAACTCGATCACCAACAATTCAGGGTATTCACAGTATGGCACACAAATAAATTTGATCTGATATATGGTACAAGTCTGCTGGGAGCTAACCCACAAAGCAGTACACACGAAACCCATACGAGGACACAACTAGTATCAAACAATAGGTGGAATAATAAACCATGGTCATCACAAGGTCCCGATCACTTTTATCCCATGCGTCCCTGCCAGTGTTGTAAAAACAGCTGGTAGGGATGTTAACACTCCTAAACCGCTAGTGCTGGCTCCTCCTTTGCATGAATACAGGAATTGTCTAGTGCACCCGCATCCTTTAAGCACACTTGATACATGCACAAGTTTAGGTTAAATAAAGATCCCTACCCACACATCTAGCTTAACTAAAAATAAAAATGCCTCAGCCTGTAGCAAATTAAGTACTCCAACGCCTAATTCTTCACCGAAAACAGCACACACCAACTCGATAGACAAAGGTGAGCATGATGTTGAAACTCCTCTTAACATAGGGTCATCATGTCAAGCAGAACTACTGGGTGCTGAACCATATTTGGGGCTGATTAACGAACTTAATTACTTCAAATGCCATTTCAACTCTCATCTTTTCCTAATCCTCATAAATGCTAGATCTGTTATAAATAAACTACCGATGCTCAGAGCACCCCTACAATTGTCATCAATGAATCTTGGTGTAATTCGAACATACTGGATGAAGAGATAAGCTTAGATAACAACACACATTTTCAGTGTGACAGGGAAGGTGGTAAGGGAGGAGGTTGTCTCATGTACTTTCTGAATGCATTTACTGTTTCACAGCTAGAAAGCGGTACACTTAACATGCCTGAGACTTTATGGGTTAACTTACACTTAAATAACGCAATAGTAGTAATTGGATGCACCTACGGAGCACCTGGTGCCCTTAGTAATTACGAGAACCAACTTATTAATCCTCTGGAACAATTATCCACCTTACACTACGATCATAAGATCCTATGTGGAGACTTTAGCCTACCAGAAATCAACTGGGATATACCCACAGGCCCAACTAAATTTGATAAGTTCTTAGGCACACTGGATATACTTGGCTGGAAACAAACTGTCACTACCCCTAGAAGAGGTTATAACGTACTAGACTTAATCTTCTTCCACATTATAAGTCCGCTATCAACCCTGGTAGGTACTGAGTTTTCAGGGAGCGACCACAAAACAGTGCTGTGTGCACTGACACTTCCACCAAGTAGCAATGTAGCCCCTACCCCTACTTCACAACAAATAACACACAGGAACTACATTAAGGCAGACTGGAATTTGGTGAAATCAATGTTAAGATCCTCAGAATGGAGAGAGTACTTCTATACTGAAAACCTCTCGAGAGCTCTGAGCATCTTCTACCATAACTTCAACACATGCTTAGATGCTGTCATCCCACTGCAAACACTAAAGGTTTCCTCACATAGAAAGTCATTCATAAAACTGAAGGATCGTACAAAACTGAAGAGATTCTCAACAAGTTACTTCAAACACCACGACTTTGGCACACTAGGTTTAATACTTAACACCCTTAGTTCCATCTCACAAGCTCGAAATTTCCGTATGAGAAACGAAGAACGCATCGCAGTAGCCAGTCCTGATAGAGTGTATGCTCTCACAGAAATCTTAAGGAAGCGAATGAGCCGCAAAATTCACAGCTTTATAATGATTTTATAATGATTCAGTCTGACCCAGCCCTCAAATTGTCCCAGCAAAAATTCTTAACATCCATTGTCTGGATATTCATGGTCTAATTAAAAATTGGACCAAGGTTGTCTGAATATTTTCACCATAGGGTCAAGGTAGTTTAACCGGAAAATACCTTTATTAGCTATCTACGCTCTCGCAACGCCATTGGCTATATATATTATACCTGGTTTGGAAATTGAATCATAAGTGTGAATGCATAAAATAATAGCAGTATGAAATGCAATTAAAGTGTTTGTGATTATAATGGTAGTTAAATGTCGAGTAGTAAAACAATCAATGTTATATGTAGAATAATTCATGTGATGAATAGAACTTGGAAGGGGTGTGCAATTACAGGATTAGTAGGCAAATCGAATGAAATAAAAACATTACGTAGCATTGTGTGAAATTTGATAATATGGAATTTAGCGTTGCAAGTAGCGGTACGTTCAACGTTTGCGTTACATTTTAGCTTGATTCGCTATATATTTCTATTTTAACTGTGAGACTCGCACAAGTGTTTCTCCAGTTCAATAAATTTAACCAATAACTCTTTCACTAATTAGTTATGGTTAGTCATACAAAAAAGCCACGAACTCAGTCACCTGTCAACGTGATGACTAATAGTATAAATATGCTCGCAACGACGAGCAGCACAACTCCCACAAAGTATGGAAATGAGGCACACAGCTTGCCAATACGCCGCAAGCGTCGAGCTGCCGGTTCACTACCATCTACTGTGGCTGAAACTGAGGGCGAAAACTTGCTGACAAATAGCAGTAGCATCGCTTCTACAAACTCAGCACTTGGTCCTGACATAAACCTCTTCACTTCACCCTATGTACGTGTCACAAAACTTCAGATTCCAAGTCCAGCTCCAACACTTACTTCAGAAATAGAACGACTAAAGCTGGCTGTAGAAGAACTGAAGACTGAGATGCGGGACATAAGGTGTAGAAAAGATATGAATGCAGGATTTTCAGAAAATTTGGCCAACTTATCTGAACTATCAACACAGGTTAGTGATATAAAATCACAGGTCTGTGAACTTGCCCCTCTGAACATCTTGACTAAGACCATAAACCCTGGCGAACTTGACACAGAATCAGTATCTAAGATAGACACCTTGATAAACTTCATCACAACAGAGGTTATCAAAAGACTTGATACTAAACTAAGTGTGATTGTCTACAATATACCGGATAATGAGGGGTTGAAAAAGGTTCAAAGCATCTTACTTAGGGCGGCGAAAATGCCTAACTCCCAAACAAAATGTCACAGACTGAAGAAGAGTCAGCACGACCACTGCTGTCCTATACGCCTTCAGTTCGAAACGCAGACAGAGGCTAAAAAATTCACCAACACACAACGTATCCTATTACAGGACACAAGCTACAAACAGGTAAAAGTTGTAGCAGATAAGACAGTGATTGAAAGGCGTGCTTACAATCACCTTAATAAACCAAATGGCAGGACACCTCAAGCCACTAAAATAGATATACACACTACCAACACGGTAGAACTCATAGCCTCCCCCCTCTCTAATCCCGTAAAAATAGCTCCAGAGAAAATGAAACCAAACGAAAGACTTGTGAGCTATAGTCTTACTCCTAAAGTAACCTCTCCTCCCTCTACGGTGGATCTAGATATGTCTATGGACAGCCATAAGATGGTAATCAATCCCTCTTGTAAGCTGACAACATCCTCTCTTAACCAAAACGTGACAACGCAAATGGAACTCGGTAACAAAACAGGCCGAAATACGCCACTTGTTGCGAAGATTCCCCAACATATTCAGACTCCCAAGAATATCTCACGCTTTAAGGTAAATAATATTCAAAAACATACTAGCAACCAAACTAAAAACAAAAATAAGGACATAGAGCCCAAGGACAACAACGACACAACCTACTTGCATACTGTGCCAAGTCACACTGGTAGCTGGTGTAGTGACGCTATCACGCAAAGTAGCAAAAGTGACAACACTCGGAGCTCAGCCACCAGGCATGACATACAAACTAACTTTGGCAGATTATACGGAACAAGCCTTCTGGGAAACAAACCACAGTGTAGCTATGCACATAACGACACCCATGTAAGGTCTCTTGGAATGTCCACACACAGTAGGCAGATTAACAAGTCATGGGTATCACAAGGTACCAATGATTTTTTATCCAACACATCCCTGTCAGCGCTAACCAAACAGCTGGTGGGGATGTTAACCCTTCTGAACCCATACCACCAACGTTGGCCCCCTATCGGGAAGAAAACAGACATGGGCTAGTACATACGGAACTATTAGTCACACCCAAAGACTGTACAAGCATATGCCAAATAAAAACCTCAACCCAACTCTCCAACCTACCCAAGCCTAGAACCACGTCATTGTATAGTTTATCTAATAATCAAACCCATTACCCACTAAAAAAAACGGATAGTAACTTGACAGACATAGGTGGACAAACTAGTTGCAACACAGGGTTGATATGCCACGCGGAAACAGCGGATGCCGATCCACACTTGAACCTTATTGACGAGCTTAAACACTTCAAACACTACTTCAAATCTCAACTCTACTTAATACTTATTAATGCTAGATCTATCCTTAACAAACTACCGATGCTCAGGGCACACACGCTGGTATACAAACCCCCTATAATCATTATTACGGAATCCTGGTGTCACTCCAATATACCAGACGAAGAGATAAGCATCGAAGGGTACATACACTTTCGCTGTGACAGGAAGAGTGGTAAGGGAGGAGGCTGCCTAATGTACTTCCTGAACACACTTACTGTATTACAGCTAGAAAATAAGGAACTCAATGACATGCACGACACCCTGTGGGTCAACGTACACTTCAAAAGTGCTACACTACTAATAGGATATATCTACAGAGCACCTGGCACCTTTAGTGATTACGAGACACAACTTATAAATGTACTGGAGCAAGTATCCACTCTTCCATACGAGCATAAGATCATATGTGGAGACTTCAACCTACCCGAAATCAACTGGGACTTATTAAAAGGGCCAACTAAATACGACAAGCTCTTAGGGACACTGGACATTTTCGGCTGGAAACAAACTGTCACTATCCCTACAAGAGGTGACAATGTACTAGACTTAATATTCTGTCACGATATAAGCCCCCTCTCAATCTTAGTGGGTTCTAAGTTTTCAGGTAGTGACCACAAAACAGTAATGTGTGCTCTGCCACTTCCACTGAATAGCAATGCAGCTCATACCTCCACTTCACAACAAGTACTATATAGGAACTATAGTAAGGCAAACTGGACCTTAGTAGAATCAGTGCTAAGATCCTCCGAATGGAGCGAATACTTCACTACTGATGACCTCTCGAGAGCTCTGAGCATCTTCTACCATAACTCGAACACATGCTTAGATGCTGTCATTCCACTGCAAACACTTGAGCTGTCCCCACATAGGAAGTCATTCATAAAACCAAAGGATCGTATGAAATTGAAGAGATTCTCAACAAGTTACTTCAAACACCACGACTTTGGCACACTAGGTTTAATACTTAACACCCTTAGTTCCATCTCACAAGCTCGAAATTTCCGTATGAGAAACGAAGAACGCATCGCAGTAGCCAGTCCTGATAGAGTGTATGCACTCACGGAAATCTTAAAGAAGCGAATGAATCGCAAAAATCACAGCATTTCCCTCCTCATAGACAAAGGTAGGCTATGTACTAATTCCGCAGACATGTGTGAATTATTCAACTCAACTTTTGCAGGTAACTACCTTAAGCCCACAGTCCAGTTACTCAATATACACCCTGCTACTAATGTGGCACAAACTCCATCTCCACACACACCAAACTTAATTAGCACTATTGAATTTAACTATACTAACATTAAACAAACTATAAGAACCCTAAAATGCTCAAAAGGTTTCGGTACTGACGGCATATCATCCTATTTTTATAAATATGGTGGCCCTGACATTCCCTTATTCCTGCTTAAAATATTCACAATGTCCTTAGAAACCCAAACTTACCCTGATGTATGGAAAACAACGTTTATTATGCCTAAACACAAATCTGGCTCGAAAACAGACGTCAGTAACTACAGGCCAATTAATATCACACCTATAGCTTCTAGAATTATGGAGAGACTAGTTAAAGAAAACCTAATGAAGCATATGCTTAGTTGCAATATTATAAGTCCGAACCAACATGGATTCCTAAAATCCAGATCTTGTTTAACATGCCACTTAGACTTCTTTAACTTTGTGACCAGCAGTCGTGACAGACGACAACTAGTACTTGTCATCTACTTTGACATCTCAAAGGCATTTGACCGTGTCGACCACTTACTACTAGTGCACAAGCTGAAATCCTTAGGAATAAGTGACCCGCTATTAGGATGGCTTAAATCATTCCTTAACAATAGGTCCCAAATAGTTAAACTCGGATCTATAACTTCGAAACCTAGCCAAATCACCTCTGGTGTAGTACAAGGTAGTGTCATTGGACCCCTTCTATTTACCCTATATATTAACGACATATGCGCTTGCTTTACTCATGGTAAACCATTCATCTTTGCAGATGACCTCAAAGTAGCTTATACATTCCAACCTGATGACCTAGGGTACTTCCAGAATGTTGTACAAAAGGAACTAGATAAAGTGACTGCTTGGTCGTCTTTATGGAACCTCCAATTTAACCTTAAAAAATGTGGCTGGATCTGCTTCGGTGCACCCTCAATCGACATAAAGTTAACGCTTCAATCGGCTAACCTAACCAAACTTCAAAGTGTCGTTGACCTAGGTCTGAGGTACTCGAGTAACCTAACATTCTCTGAGCAAGTGGCATCACAGACTCAAAAGTCGAGAATGCTCTTAGGATGCATACTCAGGAACTTTCACGACAATGAAGCAAAGCTCATTCTGTACAAAACCTGTGTGAGGCCACTACTAGAATACTGTCCATTTATTATTAGCAGCACTCACACACGTGAAAAGCTAAGAATTGAAAGTATCCAACGATATTTTACCTCGAAACTACTAGGCTACGAATGTAAGAAAGACTACATTTCACGGTGCATGATTCTACAACTTGACCCACTCTGGACAAGACGACTAATTATAAACCTAGTATTCTTCTATAAGGTCCTACACAAAATATCATTCTCAGACATTAAGGACATACAATTCGCGCAAGAAGGCTCTTACGATCTGCGTAACCAAAATTGCACAGTGACAATAAAAGCCTTTAAGTCAACACTCCGCGAAAACTTCTTCACAGTCATGTATTCTAAAATATGGAACAATCTGCCCCTAGATATCAGGAACTGCAATACAGTTTTAAGTTTCAAACGCTCTCTGTACACACTATTTCACTCTACCGACTATATAAATAAACTACTTATTCCTAGAACGAATCAACTATTAGTCTACTACAGTACCTAAACGCGCTTAAATACCCTTACTTCCCTAAAGACTATAAATAAACTAGTAGCATAAATGCATAAAAAGACATAGTAGAAACAAATTTTTGTTCATCAAATTACAATGTACAACGAATATAAACAAACTTTTTTGACACCACATAGTTTTTCTTTGTCCTCTGGTACATTTCTGTTGTATTTACTTTGTAGTACAAGTTGCATTTATCTACATTCCGACTGAAGCTGAGAAACAATTGAAGTCACTTACTCATATATTATCCCTCAAGGTTTGGCTAGTAATGGCTCAGCATCCTTGATGAAATCCACTGTCACCATAACTAGACGCTGTACAGCATCTTATACAAGCACTGTCAACGATCTAAAATGGTTTTTATATGGCTTTCTACGCGTTTATCAACTTACTCGTACGGGAGTGAGAATATACGTTATAGAGTGTTATATCTTACGCGCTTAAGGGCTTTCTCAGCTTTGATTGGCTAGTACAGTGGCGGAGAGTTTGACTTAAATTTGTCCTCGGTAGGTCATGCCGTGTGCAGGTTTGCGTGGTTGCGGCATGCGTTGTTTGCAAGCATGTTTGATGAATATAAATGTAAAATGTTGGTATTCTAACGTTTTCTTTTACTTATTTTGTGCATGTACCAGGCTTGGTTTATCATACACTCGGTTTGTTGGCCTATCGGTTGCTGGCGATGTCAAGGAATCCGTGAGTTCTAGGGCTTTTCTCGATTTTAGGTTATACATGTAGCATTTTATTGATGGATATTGCGACACAGATGGATGCTAATTGACAACGCCTTTTTAGTTTATTGCAGGTAGGCAATGCGGGTGAAAGTACTGCTGACGTCAGTGGAATTTTCGATGAAATTATGCTGGGAAGGCGTTTCTGTAGTTGGGAGGAATTTGAGAATTCCTTAGGAGAATTTCAACAAGTGAGGAAGTCATTTAATGCTAACAATGTAGTTGTCCTGTACTCACTATGTGCATATTCAAAGCAAAACAACAGGGGACGACAGATATAAGTACGCTTACGTTTATTTTAAATGCACTTTTGGCGTGAACCGTGGAAAACCTGGCCTGAAATTGCGAAACAATTCGTAAGAGGAATTGTATTATGATAATATGTATGTTTAAGGTCTAAATGTTGCAATTGTCTGTCTGCATTTCGCGTAATTTTGCGTTTTAGTGAATACGTGATAACATCCCACAAAATGGTCCACAACCATCCATGCACCAGGGTGTATATGCAGAATGATCCATGGTCTAGACGACTGTCAGCGGAAGAGAAAGAAAATGTAGAACCACTTCTTCACCAATCACACTCATCAGATGAAATAATTATGCATGTTAAGGAAACATTCCACAAGGACATAACTCTTAATGACTTTAGAAATCTGAAAGCTTCAGTTAATAAAGGTAACGTTAATGTAAATGATAACTACTTCAGGTATATCGAGCCGTTATGACATTTTTGAATTCCTTAAGTCCCGTGGGAAGTTATTGGAGTATTATTCAGATGAACCGATAAGGAATTCACTAATGAGAGTCTGTTTTTCTACTTATGAGCAAATAGATTTGTATAAACGGTTTCCGGAGGTTGTTGGCATCGATTCTACATATAACACAAATAAAGGGAAGTAAGTTTATTAATTAATTAATCAACATGCAGGTATTCTTTGTTTCAATTAGTTGTAACGGATAATTTTGGTCGTGGGAGACCGGTTCTATTTGCTTGGACGCGAAAGGAATTCAAGCGTGATGTCGTTTGGATTTTGGACTCGTTTCGTAGAATAATGGAAGACACCTCTAAAACAGAAACATTCATCATGGATTGTGCGCAAGCCGAAATAGGAGCAGTGAAGTTAACACACAGAGAAGCGCACACTGTTCTTTGTTCTTTTCATGTTTGTCGTGCATTTTGTCGTAAAGTAAATTATTTAAAAGCATAATTAAAATTTCAATTTTAGACGCGGAATCCCATTGTTAAGAACTACTTATGTCGCTTAATTCAGTGTAAAAGGAGATCTGAGTAATGCCTTTAATATTTTCATTTTTCCAGATTTAACTTCTATTTCAGAGTTATAAGCAGATTGGACGTTGGTGTCAGTCAGTATTTACAACGTCGTTGGATGAGTCAACGACACTTGTGGGCAGCAGCTTTCAGGGAACATGTACTGACTTTGGGTAATGATACCAACAATCGAGTAGAAAGTTCTCACAAGCAGATGAAACGGTACTTGCTTAGATCAGATAGTCTGCATCAAAGCATGCTGAAGGTTTACAAATGGTTTCAACTAAGTAATTCTAGAATAGAGCAGGAGTCCATGATTGCTCAGTCGCGTTCCCTCAAGTATTTATGTTCCCAACGCATAATACCAATTTTACGCCATCTGACGCCATACACTGCGAAGAAAGTGATCGCTGATTATGCAAAGCGACGATGGACTTCTTTTCAGTGTGAAGGTTTTGATTATATCTTCTTGGATGACAATGGGAGACAAGTAGAGGTGGATCTGCGCGCATGCACATGTACTTGTATGACGTTCCAGACTTGCCGGTATCCCTGTCGACACTTGCTGATGGTGCATTTAAAAAAGGCGTGTTTCACAGGTAAAATACCCTTTTTTGAAACTTGTATATTCATTTACACGTAAGATATACTAGGTTGCCACCTGAAGTATTCCCTATTTTATGTCTTTAATATTGCGTGCATAATTCTATTTCCGTTTACCGTTACACCTTTTGTAGTTAATCATGTGCTGCAGAAGTGTAAACGATGGACATGGTCTCGCCAATCGTACGCAATTCCAAGCACGTCAGCAATTGTGCCGCTAAATCAATGTGACTTATACGTAACCAATAGGAGGCTTATTAATGCGGGCCTGACGAGAATTTGCGACAAATATGGACGGAGGTTTGCCGCAGAGTTCGCTGGACAAGTAGTCGCTCAAATCAACAATGTTCTTGATTTGTAAATTAAATACTTTCGTATTACAATGATAATAAACTTTTCGTATTAAGATTGTTGCCTTTCTGTTAGTGTGTTCGCGTTGGGAGTACGGCATGCTAGACCGGTGCTCCCTAGGATATGAATTCCTTACTATACGTAAGTGCTATTCTGTAGGAACACTTTCCACCGATATAAGTCGTGAATTATAAGTACTTCAGTCACGTCGAAAAAAATTTGAGATTACGTCTCCTAGTCATGGATAAATCTGTAGGGACTAATGACAAAAATACCTAACTTCAGTGTTTGACAAATAAGAATGGAACTTAGGGCCCTGCCGTTGACTTCGATTTCGTATGAAGTTAAGTGTAATCAAAAGTACTGTATTACTACTATTTCACTTAAAGCAAGATGTCAATCCATATGACTACGGGTGTTAACATACAGTGTAAACTGAAGTCTACACGAGAGGAATAATTTAATAGGTTGGGATGTAGCAATGTTAGTGCGATTTCGCCGACGTTGAATTATGCCTACAATCAGTTTCTCAGGCCCACATCTCGTCATAATGAAAAATTTAGTTTCACTGAGATAGAATAAGAAAAGTATGGTAAGCAGGATGTTAAATATATTTCATGGAAAATATGAAGGGAATGTCTTCACACAACTGTTTTCCGTAATTACTGCTGGGATGCGTAATTGCTGTGACCTGGTTGACTGACTTGACCGAACATCTACAAGTAAGTGAATAAAGTATAATTTTTAAATCGTTGAAGTTAGAAATAAGTAATGTAAAAGTGAAACGCTTTATATTCTCCTACCTTTGCTGAAAAAAGGTTCATTCTCCTTTCTCATTCTTTGGTCAGGACAGCATTATTCTGCGGTTTTCACTGTGACATACATTGTTCTTCTTCTAAAGTATAGCACCAAGCAAATAATAACTTAATATACTGTATAAATGGGTGTTTACAAGGAATGCATGACATCTCTACAGGTACAATAAATTAGGCTATAAATTACAATCGTGAAGTATCGTAAATTCAAACTTTTTCAAAAGCTTACATTGTTCATTTATTGTACAAGCAATTACAACAGATTACAATAAAAGTTAAACTCCGGACCTTTCACAATGAACACTGCATATATATCGGTAAGTGCTATTCCCTCACACAATTAAAAGGTATTCCAGGAGGAGAACAGCATCCTGAGAAACTGCAGTAGTGTTTTCTAGCTATTCCGAAAATATTCCTTTGATGCTGTTTCTTAGCAACAGTTTGTAGTATTCATAGTGACTTTAGAGAAAACTTTATCATATCTTCACTTTCACCAACTGTCCCTTCAAGTACAATAGCATGCAGTAACTACATACACACAAGCATTGCAACTTAAACATCACAAAATCCCTACAGATAACTTGTTTCATAATAAATGCTTTAGAAACATGAGCCATAAGTACACCTTCCATGTCATTCATAGTCACAAGTAATTCATTAAGCATATCAGAATATGTTAGTGATGTGAACATGAAAAATTATTAAGACTGATATAACTGAAGTAACACGTTTAGTAGTTGTAGGACATACCTGCGAGCTACTATTCTACAGAAAGGTGATTCCAATTTGAAGCAGTCTGGCATTGTATAAGCACCATCTATACTATTCTTCCAGCACAAATGCACAATGATATCGAGATAATCTGATGCAATGTAATGCACTCAGCAATTACGGTCTCCCGAATTTCTATGTGACAATGTAAATTAAACTAGTATCACATCTTCAACTGAGCCATTTTAACTAGGAACTTCACAGAAATGGATAAAATCACCAGGAAATTCAGCAGATTGTCTCATTCATCGCATACTCTCTTCGATGTGTTATGGAATATTTCAATCATCACGGATGATGATAAAAAAGTGTTTGCTATCCTCAAAACGTATATTTCCCTTGTGTCTGTGGGCTAGTTCTCCTTCAAATGTCTCGTTATCATAGAATAACTGCTATGAAAACAACCATTGTATATACCTAATTTTCAACCTATATTTCCTCAAAAACCTAGCAAATAATAGACCATTAAGGCTCTAAAACGCGAAGAATAGTCTTTCTTTGTTAAATTTCTTATATACGATGAGGTATTGAAGTAATACATACTCTGGGATATCATGACAGGTTCTTCCATTAATACGAACACAATACTGGAAAATGTTGCTTTTTCGGTTATAGAAGCATGAAACCAGTTTTACATTATCTACTTTCACAAAAGTAAACGCTTATAACGCCTCTATACGCGTGAACACGATAACCCATACATTCCGCGATAATATATCACTATAACGTTTATTGTCACCCCTCGTACGGAGCAACCATGCAGTGACAAATGGCGGGCTATGGGTGATTTGAGTGCAGTAAAACAAATCTGCTTGACAATGACCAATATTAATCTGCATTCAGTTGAATTCACATCTGGTATTACTTGCAAAAAAATGATGTCAAAATCATAAAAATTAATCACTCATTTTAAATTAATACACAATTTGAACATAAAACAAGATACGATGCCGCACACAACAAAGTTATATGGAGGAATTGACTTCAAGCTTTATTTTTTTCCCAAATATTTGTAATTTATCCGACACGTACTTGGGTTTTTTTGTTAATGCGAAGACAATATTTCTATATTTCTTTATGTGCTCCATTGAACGACTAACTATCAGAATGTGCTCACTAACTGATGTCAGAGGACAGCAACCATGTAATTTCACTATAAATCAAATTCATGTAATTTAAATAATACTTATCCATGCCTGTACAACTGGTGTGTCCTACATTGATAGGAAATATATATTATTATTATAAAACAAAACTGATTCAGAGTGACAGGTGGAAAGAGCGACATTTCAAGGTGAGATTAGCAATAGTAATAATTGATGTCAAGAAAGAAGAATATACGAACTGAATAAACAAAACGAGCGACAACGTGCTTAGGGATTATTATACTTTAGCATAGAGGGATTAAGACCATGAAAGTTGGAGGGGTTGAACGAACTTTTTCTGTACACAGAGATCTGGCTTTTCGGTTTCGATAACCAAGGCTTCAGCAATAAAGGTGAGTTGGGTACGTAGTGATTTCGGCAAATTACTTTTCACCTTGTAGATGATTTGAAAGGAGGAGGCTACAGAGATAAGATGATCACTATAGACCAGATATTCAACGATCGCGCTTCTCATTGTCCTACTTCCGTCTCTTCGTAATCATGCAGGATAGTGTTCTTGGACAGAACTCGAGTCGAACGGTCGATATATACCTAGCTCCACATGAGCAGGTGAATCGGTAAACGCACATAGATTTGCTCAACTGCGGGATCTTATCCTTCAGGTTATTGAACAGTAATGGTTGACTGGAAAAGGCTATTCTCAGATATGCATCAGGGAGTGTTCTTTTCAGGGACTATGAGATCCTTCTTTTAATGATATCGGAAGCTTAGTCACCTTTGAATTCCAAGCTTATGTACAGTATTTTCTTGGGTGCGGATGATAAGTCACACTTTATACGATTTGACTCTATATTCTTATCTATAAAACATGGTGAAAATCTATCTTCTATTAGGATTCTTCTCAAAAGATTTAAATCATCCTCCACAGTATCAGGGCTACATATGCGCCAAATGCGAGTGGCAAGTGACCGGATCAGGTTTCGT